GTGAGACGGCTTCCTTCTCACACACACTTACAAACACATGCACATTCCCACATGCTGTCAAAGCCAAACACACATGGGCTGCCATAATTCAAGCGCACGTAGTGGAAAACACTCTTGTGAACATGAAGCACATAAATAAACACGCACTCGCGCGACAGTGTTAGTGATGTGTTTGGCTCGCGCTCGCTGTTCACCCTTATCGTTTAGTTCCTGAGTGACCACATATCCTCCGCTTAAACATGACACAAGCCACATTCCTCATTACCTTGCAGACCCTCGCACGCTCTGCGTCCAGCGGTCTACTGCGGCGTGTAGATGTATGTGTCTGTTGCTCTTTCACTTGTGTGTCGTTCACGGCTCTCTCCAAGTCAGATTTCTGGCCAGCGTTCGCTCTTCCATTTCGTCTAATTTCTCTGCGAGCTGTCAGAATGGAGACCTCTGTTTACTCGTATAGTCATCAGCTGTTTGGCATCAGCCTAGAGGCTGTACTGTACTTGAATGTGTCAATGAATGAGCACTGACATCCATTGGCGTTCATGGGTTGGGAGAATCCCAGAGTGACATGTTAGATCTTCTTGTGTTTGTTTGAGCAGTTGTTGGATGGTTTGCTAGTGTATTGGATTTATTTTATAACAAAACAACATGTATGCTGTATTCCTTAACCTGTCTGACAGACGGGGGCTAAAAGTAGCTTTTCACCATACCCACCTATGTCCTGTGAGTGCCAAACAGAATCTGTTGACACTTTTTATTTATTTTTTTTTGCTTCAGATGAAATATCTTAAGATTTCTACTGGATATCGCAGTCGGTTATTCAACAGAAAATGCAATCAAACATACATAAATTTGCACTGCTCAACTGTAATGTTCAGATGGGATGATTTACATGGAGAACATGCAATGATTACAAAGCCTTTGCTTTTATAACAAATATTCAAAATGGATTTTGTTTTTACAGATATTTAGGCCTTCTTTTTGTTTGTTTATAATGAAATTTGTCTGAAGTTTTTTCAGGAAAAAGTGTAGATTTCTGCATTAAGGTTTGCAATGAAAATTTTATTCAATGCAATGGAAGTTTAAGTTTATGTGTATAGCGCTTTTTACAATAATTATTGTTTCAAAGCAGCTGTACATAAGGTGCACATTATTGCATTATAATCAAATTAAGTTGCAATCTAATATAAGTTATTATATATAAACATGGTTAACCTGCAGTTTTATAGCATATAAGTGATGTCTTTGGGTTTATGTTTAATGAAGTTTCGTTGAAGTCCTCAATGGCTGGCATCATCTCTTCTTAGGTCTTGGATCACATAATTGGCACTGCACAATCTCTAGAGGCCTTGGGATGGGCATCCCCAGGTGGAAATAGAGAACAAAGAAAATAATTAGCGTAGCTGCTGTTCATAGTGTATTTAAAGATATATTAAATGTTAATGCAAAAATGAAGTGCTATAAATGAAAATAGGAGTTGTAGAAACAAACATGTAAAGCTGTTACGAACCCCAGTTTTTTAAGGCTCGTCTAAGGAAGGGGTTAGTAACATAAAAGGACACAGAACTCAAAAAAGTGGTACAGTTCTCTATTTATTCAGAGACCAGAAAATAAGTGTCCTATCAAAATAAAGTGGCAACAAAAATATAAATCCTTGATGAAACAATATTACTCAATCGAAACAATTACTTAAACAAACATACACAAAACATAAATAAAACATAAATAAACCATAGATCAACAAAGAATTAAATAAACAGCAGCAACACCAGCATGACTCCTCAGCAGCGGCTGCACAAGACGCTCACAGAAGTCTCAGACCTTCATCAGGACAAAGTATGTAGAGATTCTCGACACATACGGGTCATACTCTCAAGAGAGCAAAGTTTGGGAGGATCAGTCAGAGACGCGCTGGAAAACAAAGAGCCACCCCGACACACACTCAGCTTCCACTCATAAAGCCGCCAGTCAAAATGAGCTGCAGGTGCAAGGTGGAGTTAGGTGGGAAAATCAATTAGTAATCAACTCCAAAGCAACACAATAATGATAATACTACTACTACTACTACTACTACTACTACTACTAATAATAATAATAATAATACAAATAATAATAAAAATAATAATAATAATAAGAAGAAAAATAAAGAATAAATCGAGACAAAAGTATTTAAGTATTTCTAACAAAATGCCTGGTGTATTAAGACAGGAGGAGTGTGTCCTACAGGTGGTTTGTCAAGCCCTTTTTTCTGCATAAAGCACACTCATGCATCACACCGTTTTGAGAAACATTGTGTGTATGCTTTTATAAATAGATAGGTCTTTAATTTAGTTTTAAACTGAGAGTGTGTGCAAACCTAGGACATTATTAGGAAGGCTATTCCAGAGTTTAGGAGCCATAAATGAAAAGGCTCGACCTGCTTTAGTAGACATTGCTATTGTGGGTACTACCAGAGGCCCTGAGTTTTGAGATCTTAAAGAACGGGTTGGATCGTAGTGAGAGAAAAGGTTGGTTTAATAAAAAGTAGCTAGATTGTTTAAAGCTTTATTGTTAAGATGCATTATTTTATAATCAATGCAGAATTTATGGGCAGCCAGTGAAAGGAAAATACAATTGGGGTGATATGGTCATATTTTTCTGACCTGGTAAGAACTCTAACAAATAGAACAACTTGTTCGATAAACAGGGCTACACAGGCCTTTAATATATTACATCTACTTAAATATGTTGCCATATTTAAAAATATTTCCGAAATTGAGATAAAACGGTCTTATGATTTTGTACAATACTTTAACAAATAAGTTAATGTTGTTATGTTTTTGACACAATGCTGTGTTTTTGAACTTTTCACGAATAAAATATTATTCTTTTATATTTTGTTATGTTTGTGAATGGAATTGGTTTTGAACATACTGTGGCAATGAATTGATAAATTGTCCATTCCTAAAGAAATTAGCATTTAAGAATCTTGCCACCTGCACACTTTATGTAAATTCAGGGCGTCCGTGGGATCTTAAAAAGTCTTAATGTCTTAAATTTGGAAAACTCTTCAATTCACTGAACTATAGTGCTGTTGGCTGTTACATCGTTTTAAACTGGTCTTAATTTTCCTATATCCAAGTAAAGCCAAACCTCATCACAAATAATCAATTTTAAAACTTTTTTTGTTTAGATTGAAGTTTTATATTGCAAAAAATATTGTTGTTAGACAACAGTTGTTGTTGTTAGACATTTTTACAGCAAATTCTCCAAATTAAATTCCCTAATCATGGAAAGAAAACTAAAGCAACGCTTTTCTTTACATGATCTTCCGTTAATATAAAAACTATTTACAGACGTAACCGGATCATTAAAAAAATACTTAGTGTTTAGCCCTGTATAAGTAAAAAAATTCACTTGTATTGGTTTTGAAAGGTTCTTAAAAAGGTCCTAAATTTGACTTAAAGAAACCTGCAGAAACCCTGAAATTTTATATTTGCTTTGGTTGTATAAAAAATATATTGTAGAATACTACATTATATGTATATTACAAGATGATGAAAAACAATAAACGTACATTCTATTCAAATAACGGTGCTAAAGTAAAAACACATTAGTTAAGAATGGCTCAACAAAATTGTTTAGTTAAGCTTGAAATAGGTGGTATATGTGGTGAATTAATGAACTCCAACATTCATATCAGATGTTGCAGAATTCAGATAGAGCAGCTGTAGTTGATCAACATGCGTTTTACAGTGAAACTGTGTGATGGAATTCATGTAGCGTATTTCCTTAAGTTAAATAAAATGCTAAATAAATCTCTCCTTTCCTCCCACTAAGCATAGGGCTTTAGTTTGTTGCAGTCTGACCTGTGGTCCATGTCCTCAGCAATTTTAGATGGCTGACCTTCGAAAAAACTCAGTTCACCTTTTTAACTGAAGACAAATCCTATGTGTTTGTCACACCTAATTCAGTCCAATTACCGGGATTTTCACTGTAAACCTTTTTACAATTTGTTTCTGATTTGAACTCGTAATTTTATATATATCAGGTGCAGACAGCTAATGCAGTCATTATGACAAAAGTAGTGCAAAGTTTAACTTTAATTTGCCTCTTTTTCTCTGGTGTGTGGTAGTTAGCAGGCCTTTGCCTCAGAGGATGATTCATTCGTTTGTATAATTGTGATTAGTTGAATGGGTAGGATTCGGTAGCGCTGATTAATTGCTATCATTTTTCAGACCATGACTTCATGCAATATTTTAGCGAGGGGAGTAATGAGGAGAAATTGGAGGGGGGTTTAAGACCTTGGACTTTGGGGATGGAACCCAAATCCTCAAATGCTCTACACTCTATTTGGTAACTTTAACCCGCTGATTTATTAGCAGCAATGGCAGGATGCTGAAATAATTGGGCTTGGATCAACGTACACGTGGGGTGGCGGCAACAGCTGAAGTGAGCTCAGTGGTGGATTTTATTGGAAGAATGTGTTGTTTTGGATAAGGTTACTGCAAGGTCTATAGGAAGGCGAAAGACTGTGTATTAGTGTGTGTTTATTGGATAGATAAAGTGCGTATGTTCTATCCAGATTTTCAGACTGAGTAATAGGAGAATAGTAGACAGAACAGACATTCGCCAGCGAGATGATTTGGCTGTAGATTGTGTGTGTGTGCACTCATTTCATCGCACGGCTTGTGTTTGTTGGCAAGCATCTGCACATCTAGGTGCTTATTGCACATTTAAGATGGAGCCTGCCCAACACAATTATTCATCCCTAACCATACAGTTTGTATTGTGATGTAGTAGTCCTCTTTAGTTTCCATGTCACTCATTCAGAAAACCACCTCCACCTTTCAAAATAAGGACTTCCTTTTGGCTTCCATAAAATTTGAACCGCTGAAAAGTTTTTACCATTTTGGTCACTATATTTTGTGTTTTTTTTCCACACACTTAGAGGTCTGTTGCAGAACCCAAACTTCTTAGTTAATAAGGAAAGATGTAATCTAGATTTTTTTTGTGACTTACTGTAA